AGGCTGAATATAGTCAATGCTGTGATAACATTATGTGGGTATTTACTATTTAACGTATTATCCAATAAACTGAAAACGAGATAAACTTTCAAGCTTTAACTAGCTTTTGAGATTTAATGTTAAATTTATTGTTTGAAAAAAACATTATTCTATCAAAAATATCTTATGTAACACATTGAAAAACAAGTATCCTATGTATTTATGTGACGACACATTTAGCTCAGTTTGTGGTAACCCTACTTGCTGTGCCACCGGTCGCGGGTGCAAGTCCCGCTGGGGGCATTCATTTGTGTGTTGAGCACAAATGTTTGTACTCCAGTCATGGGTGTTTATATTTATAATGTGCATTTTAAGTAATTTGTGTAATTTAGAGTTATATATTTGTAGTGTATCAACTATCTAGTATCCATAACACAAGCCTCGTATCTTACAATGGAATTAGATGGTGCCGTGTGGTAATGTCCCAACATATTTATTTATTTATCACACATATAAATCCAAAATAATAAGTAATATAATATTTATAAATCAAAGAGGTTGTGATGATATGTTTCATGACAATTACGCCTTTTTTGAAGTCGAAGAAGAAGTAAATAAGTAACAAAAGACATCAAAAACGAGAGCGTCAAAAGTAATGGATATTGATATGGGTCCTGCATTGATTTCCGCTTACAGATTCTTATATGTTTTGGTATTTGAGATCTTATATTGTGTTGTACGAAATAACGAGTATCTATTTTGAGGATAATGTTATTTACAATTATAATAATACTAGCGACTCAACATGGTTTTGCTCGGGTTTTGGGTGGAAAACGTTTATGGTAGTTCCCGTTGACCTAGAATCACGAAATTTGGCAAAAAGCAAGGTCTTACAGTACAAATAAAGGAAAAATAAAAAAGTTAAAAATGAAAGTTAAACAGATTTCCTATCAATCTGTACGAAGCCCTCGGTGGGCGAGTCCGACTGGTACTTGTTCGTAATTTTTTTAAAGAAAAATTTCAAAAATTTTATTTATGCAATTTGTGACCACAATTTATTTCTTTTCGGTACTAGTAAATGTTTCATTATTTAAAAATGTAAGCTGCATTTGCGACTTAATGTAGACTTAGACGTGTAAATTGTCTTACAGCTATTTGGTATCCGATATTTGCGCCGTAATTTATAGCTATTGCATTTTTATTGCTTCAGGTTGCATCGCATCATAATCAGGTTGAGGAATTATTATCTCTTTATAATAAAATAATTAAAATTTATTTATTACTGGGAGAACCCGCGGCTTTGCTCGTGCCAAAACTACAAAGAAAACTCTAAAAGGTAGGTTTCATACAAACTTTCATCCCCTATTTTACCCCCTTATGAGATGAATTTCGATAAATACCAAAACACGTATTTAATTAATTGTATTGAAGAGTATTAATACCAAGTTTCAAGTAATTCTGATCATAAATAATTTTTTTGAACTGTACACGTTATACGTGTTTTCTCGTGGGTATGAGATAATCTCCGGCGGTAAAAAGTAGCCTATGTCACTCTCCAGCCCTCCAACTATCGCAACACAAAAAATCACGCCAATCCGCTGAGCCGTTTCGACGTGAAAGAAAGACAAACAAACAAACACACTTTCACATTTATAATATTATTATGGATTATAATATAATATAGTAACCAGCCCAGTCGTACTTGTAACGCGCTCGCTTGGAAAACCGAGTGACGCGGGTTCAAATCCTGCGTCTCACACCTCTGATATTTTCATGTGCGAATCATTTCCAACATGATTACTACTTGTCTTACGGTGAAGGAAAACATCGTGAGGAAACCTACACGTCTGCGAGAACCTAGCAAGTTATCGAAAGACATGTGAAGTCCGTCAATCTGCACTTGGCCAGCGTGGTGGACTATAGCTTGATCCCCCTTGTATTGAAGGGAGGCCCAACCCCAGCTGTGGGACGTAAAAAAGGGCTGAATACAATATAGTACGAGTACATGTTTGTATTAATATAGGATCCTCTGTTAGATATATGACTCGACACTACATCTACCATTTATTTTAGGAAAATTTAGGCGTTTCCTTAAGCTAAATCAATGTTTGTATGTATGTTTATTTAAAAAAACTTTTATAAAATAGTACTTCTATTTTAAATAAAACTATCTTTTCGGATGTGTTCGTGAATTTATTTTGATTTTTGGTTCCCGACGTTTCGAATGAAAGTCTATTTCAATAAGATTTTCCAATAAAAACTTTTTAACAAAAAAATAAAAACCGACTTCAAACAAAAGCACTAAAAAGTAAAAAATAACTGATTGGTAGTTTTCATTTACTATACATACCTAATCAAATATTTTCGAAGTCGGTGTGCACCATCCACCTATCCACCTTCTAGCCTTACCATCAGATCAGGTCAACAATACCGAACCACTGTACTATCAACGGAGACAGAAACACTTGCAAATTTAAAGTTAATATGACAATTAGAAGTAGGTTAAATTCATCATTAGCTATTTTTCCACCCTTAGGGGTTATATTTTTTTTTGAAATGTAAATGGGACCAATCTGGAAGTATACACTTTCAAACAACACAAAAGTTGTCCAAATCGGTTAATAAATGATGGAGTTCTGAGGTAACAAACATAAAAAAAAACAGTCGAATTGAGAACCTCCTCCTTTTTGAAGTCGGTTGAAAAATATTTAATGTACAGATTCGACTTAGTTACGGTTTTATTATATGTATAGATTGTTAGATATACTATATTATATTCAATTTTATTTTCACTAATTTTCTTGTAAATGGCTTCTAATATATGATTTTTATTCTGATAAATAAAATGCCAACTTTAACGATTGTTATTTAGATAAACATTACGCGGAAAATAATGAAGATAAGTCTACAGCGATTTATCTCTAAGTATAGATGTGAAGGTAGATATAATAATAATAATGTTAGATTTTATATATTTTATTTATTTAAATAAAATATGGTGTAATATCTCCTCTTTAACTGATTGACACTTAAACGATGATAGTACTTAAAGGTTTGGTTTTGCGCACGCACAAGTAAACAAGTGCTCAGCAAATACACTTGGTTATACAAGTATTGATAAATTGAATGTATATTTGACTTTTATTCATTAATAATTAGCTATTGGATTGCAGTTTATATAATATCATATTTTTGCATAGACACAGATTTTTAACAAGGATTGTGATTCTTAATAATAAACTCGTTACGCTCGGGCTCGTCCCTAGTTACGTTTTAATTTTTTTGAGCGGAACCCTAATTCTTTTTCTAAAATTAGAGTAGCCTATGTTACTCCCTATAACATCAGCTATCTTTCAGTGGAAGGTCCGTCAAAATCAGTCAATCCGTTTCAGAGATTATCCGGAACAAACAGACAGTCAGACAATTTAAAAAAAAAAGTGTTTTTCTTATAATTGTAAGTACCGTATATAATTTCATATGCATTTAGTAAAACGCTGTTATTTTGACATTACAAACAGATACTTCAATTTTGTTTATCTGTATAGATAATGAAAAAACGGATTCATCTATAACTAAACATAAATACATACCCAAAGCGTCATTTAATGTTTTTATACGTTCACGTAGTACACATGTGGTAACGTGGTACATAGATATGACAAAAAATTTGTCGTGACTCGTGATAATTATGATTGCTTATCTATTGAAATAGATGAGATAGGGTTCAGATATCGTGACAGTAACAACTTGGTTGTTTGTATGTACTTACTAGTTACTTTATAAGAATTTATATAACATTAATAAAAAAATATTATAATTCGAGTAATAAACAATAATAATAATGTACCATAAAAACATTTACCCATAAGAAGATGCCATATTATGAAGAAATGATTTACCTGTTTAAGACATTTCTTCCAGCGACTCTAAAGCGTGAGAAAAAAAAATGACTCGGCTTTAACATTTTTACAGAATTGTAAAAGAAAATCTAAGGGCAACCCTTCGTTTCACTGAATTATAAATATGCTCTAAATATCTTCGTCATCAATAATTCATGAATGAATTCAAATTTATATTCAATTTTATGCGATTCCTTATTGTGACTCAGAAAACCTTATATTTTAGCAGAATAAATAGTTATTTATATGTCTACCATTAAATATCTTTATTTCTTAATAAATAGAGTTTTGATGATCTGTGAGTCAGTAACAAAATTAAACCTTAAACTTAGACCTACAATAGTTCTTAAACTACAGGTTCAAATTGAATGTCATTTGGAAATATACCTAGTTTTATTATGTTGTCTTAGTCACTGAAAATTCAGGCTTCTAGCTATATCCACAACGAAGTTATAGTGGGGTCGAAAATGTCCTGAATGGCTTCGAGAAAAGCATGGTACAGCTGTGCTTCTGTTTGCTCGACTTGCACTGCCCTGCATTTAGATTAACAAATCGTGCATAAAATTATAAGAAAATATCCTATTTATTTAGTAATTACCTTTTTGATATGTTTTGTAAAATTTTATTTTCTTGTTAATGGCTGTACCAGTGGTGTACCTACTTTAATTACTTCGTCAATGTAACGTAATGTCGAATGGAGAGCAAAAAATCTGTCTATTATTGTTACGAATATTCTGATATATTTAACTGTCTCTAATTTATATTAAAAAGTTGCAAATTTAATTAAATAAATAATTTTAAACTAAGGAGTTTGTCTACAGTTAATGTTTCTATTATTTCGTTGTACTAATTTTATCAATTTATAATAATGTTTGTTTATTAATGAGTCTGAATGATTAAGATTTGGAGTTTAACAAGTAACAGGGCATTGATTTCGTTATGGAAATAACTTGAAAACTCAAAAAAGGTTCATATGGAAAAAGGAAAAATGAAAGTACGCATTAAATACATACTATATTAACACAAACATATATAATGAAATATACTTAACATCATCTGCTCATCATCTACATTAGTGTGACCTGTATTATCTTTGTTTTCCAAATTTTTTCCAAAGTCTTACTCAAACTCTGTGTAATGAGGGAAAAATCGATTATAAATTGTATCCCAAAACAAAACTTCATCTCTTTCGGGATGGTTCTCTTTGGCCAGTGTGTTACCAATGTTTAAATAATCTTGCTCCTCAATAGTGAAAGGACGCCATTCTACTCCTGTATCATTGTTAGGTGTTGGACTCCTGGACAAAAACAGTTTTATCAAAAAAGTCAATTCTAGTTCTAGAATAATATTAGTATTTATAATTCTCACTTATCACAATTTAATGTGGACGACAAGTGTCGCTATAGTATTAAAATATATATGTTATTCTCTTATCTGATAAAAAGATATTAAATATCTTTTTAACAGATAGGAGAATAATATACCGATAACGAAGTAGAACTTACCCGTATTTAGCAAAATTTGTCCATAAATTAGTAACTGTCTCAATCGTGTCCTGTTCAATAGAATTTTCGTTAACCTTTTCTGAAATAATTGACAAAGGGAAAAGATAAGCAATATCATCCCCATGACATACAAAAGTCTCATCTGTTCCCAAAAAATTTAGTGTGCCCAATTTTTCAGCAAATATATTTCTTTTTGTTTTACAGGTAAACTTATATAAGTAAAGTTTATTTTGGTTACTTTTAGCAATTGCCCTGGCCAATGCAATAATTCCATAGACAAAAAAGTTTGCTGAGAAATAATTCAGTAATTGTTTTATATTTTTCATCGATACTATATCATCTTTAAAATAGTATTTTTTAATTCTATTGCCTAAGTCTAATTGATCATGAAGACTAGCTTTGTACCTAATAGAACTAGGTACGAAATAGTCTGCGAAATTATTAGACTGTTCGATAATTTCATCAAGATTGAATCCAGCATTTAAGGCCAAAATACCTTCATGTTCAGTGTAACCAATTATTATTTCAATATTTTTATGAATTTCAGGCATTTTGTTTTGTAGTTCATCTTCAAAGAAGAATCTCTCACAATTCTCGAATTTTTTTTCATTAACGATTGAAAACCAAACATTAAGTTTAGTTTCGAAATTTTCAGCAAGGGTAACTGGTAGGTTAATTTTGACAAGGGATTCAACAGGTACAGATTTGAAAAATGCTGCAAGTTCGATATCATTTTCTGAATAAAATCCCAATTTCCTTGCAAGATTGAGTGCCCTATCACGAGGACGTTCACATCTACTCCAAGCATTGGTAATTGCCCCACTTTGTAATATGGCTCTTTTAAATAGGCCGACACTCATCGGGGATACTAAATGGTATGAAACACTCCCTGCTCCAGCACTTTCTCCAAATATCGTTACATTGCTTGGATCCCCTCCGAAATATTTTATATTTTTTTGGACCCACCTTAATGCCGCCACTTGATCTTTCATACCAGCGTTGCCTGGAATTTCTTCAGTATTTAAGCAAAGAAAGCCGAGTACTTCTAGCCTGTAGTTAAATGTAACAAGTACTACATCCTTTTTAATAAGAAATTCAGGCTCATAGAAATTTCCACTACCACAAGTGAATCCGCCGCCATGAATCCAGACCATAACTGGTAAAGATTGATTCGGTTTTAGATCAGGTGAATAAACATTTAGATATAAACAATCTTCTTGTCCACAATATTGGTTTGTGATATAACTATCATACTGAATACATACTGGACCCTCTTCTTTTGCATTTCGCACACCTTGCCATGGTTCCACAGGTTGAGGTGCCTAAAATTTAAAAATAGTCAAGTGCGGTTTAGATTAGCACACTAAGATGTCTTTATCACACAATATAATAATTATATACACATTATATTTTTGTTACGTTTTTACATTGTATTAAATGGTAGTAAAGCCTTAACGTGACTTTTATAATATAGCAAAAATACAGTGAAACAAATAAATCACGGAAACTAATTTTATGAATTTATTAATATTCACTAGTCACATACATTAAAATGAAGACACTTTTCATTCACTCCTCTATTGATGCAGTGCAATAGCAGTCTGATATTAACCGTTGTGTAATTATGGAAACATCCAATTTTATTAAAGTAATTTGCCCAAAAAAATGGTAAGTTGGATTGAAGGATTAAGCTTTGCAACTTATTTTTAAAAAACTTATTTTGTATCTTACCATAAACCTTAATTCACCAATTGGAGGTTTTGCATATGGGATACCTCTAAAACTGTAAAATGATCCACCATATTCATTTATAACTCTTTCTCCTTCTAAGATCCCATCTAAAATTTCCACTTGCACCATGGTAATTAATGAAAATTAATTATTTTTGATTTATTTTCTTTTTATTATTTTTTGACTTATTTATATTTATTATTTTATATTATTTTTACTGACTTTTTTAATAACTTTATAAAAATATATAAGTTTGAAAATGTTATGTTGTAAAAGCACTTTATCAGAATTAAAAAATAATAAAATTATATGTTTACGCTACGAAACTGACTACCTGTAAGCGAATGAAACAAAATTACACGCTTTTATGTAATTGTTTACTTGACCTTCGTATCGTGTACTGCCGTCTTTACTTTGTATGTAGTTTATATCCGCCTTCAAAATGGTTAAGTACATTTTTTTGTCTATGTTTACCGATTTAAGAGACGGTTTAATTGCTCTGGCTAATTTAAATTGTTTTCTATTAAGGTAAGTCACAAGGAGGTAACATATAATTTTCTTCAATGTAGAGCCTACCATTTTTTTATTTTTTTATTTTTAGGAACAAACAGTGAAATAATACTTATAAATAATTACAAACTAAAATGCCACCTACAAAATATCACACACAGGTAAACATGATAATTAGTTTAAACTTTAAAAATATAAAATAACATTTTTTACAAAAATTACCAACTGAAAAATAAAACACTAGAAAAGGACAACAAAAAAATGACTTAGGTGAAAATCATAAAAACAAAAAAAAAACATAATAATAAAGAAATTAATAAAAAAATACATATATAATATGGATAGACAAACTTCAATATGAATTATGGTTATGATGAAAATTTTCAAAACACCTTCTACATCTAGATAATTAAATGAGTCTATGTTAATAAATTTTCCATTTTAATTATTACATGGTTGATAAATAAACGAATTCGGAGCAGATTTAGTACGTGTTAATTGTGGATCAAAAACAATTTATTTCGAGGAGATAATCTAGGACAATTTAAATTAATTTAACTCAATAGATACTTATAGGAATCAATAATATTATTGACCAATTTAAATAAAAATAAAAATCTATAATACGTGTTTTATATCAGTGGAGATAAAAAAATATTTTTATTAATTTATCATTCCTTTTACAAACAGAGAGTTGTGATATACGAGATGAAATATTTAGCTATTTTTGTTCTGGTACGCCAAAGAAGTATAACTTCTTACGTGCGAACTAATGTATGTACACACACAAACACGTTTTTTTATTTTTTTTTATGTTATATCCAAGAAATAAAAATATAATAATATCTACATATTGCTTTAGGTCATTAGCTGATGCAAAAATAAATAACTACCTATTATTATATCTAATTAAGTTGTTTGTTTAAGTTCCTACTAATTTAAGTCGTATTTTAAACAAACTGTGTCTTTGAGTGATGTATTTACGTTCGTATATAAATTGAATAAATATATATGTTTTGCTTTCAATGAACAATCATTGTGCAAATATTGTTTTCGCCTTCTGATTTACCTGTTATCTTTGAGTTAACTCAATTGGTGATGAACACAACAACCAATTGAGTACCTCTATAATTATTTAAAGTCAGAGCACCGTTTAATCTATATCACCGAGCTTCGTTCGGAGTTTAAGGTCAAGAGTACAATTTTCTTTTTAAAAAAAAACAAAAAGCTTGAATAAATACTCGTACAAAAAAAATACAAAAAAAAATTATACCTTTGTATCCGACCGGGATTCGAACCCGGACACTTATTTAATCTTGCGCCTTGGCCGCTTGACCATGATGCTTATATCCGAGCGTGCGAAATTATCGAACATAATATTTTGCGTGGAATAATGCAAAAGAAAACCGTATGAAAATTCGAAAACACGCGTTTTCCCAGACATAAGACTAATCTAGATCGATTTATCGCCCCCGAAACCCCTTGTATACTAAATTTCATGAAAATCGTTGGAGCCGTTTCCGAGATTCAGATTATATATTGATATATAAATATGTGTATACAAGAATTGCTGGTTTAAATATATTAGACAGATAGATATAAGATATATAAAAGGCAAAAGTGATTGACTGAAGTATCAAGTTATCAACGCACAGGCCAAAGTTTGGCCGCCAAACCCTTAGGGCTAGAAACTTAAAATTTCGCACACCTATTCCTCATATGACGAAGGCATCCACTAAGGAAGGATTTTTCAAAATTCAACCCCCAAGGGGGTGAAATAGGGGATAAAAGTTTGTATGAAACTTTTTATTCCTTGGACATATTTGCATGAAATTTCGTATGAATTGAGTACGGCAAAAATAATGAGTTACATTTCAGCATTTTCCAAAATTCAACTCCTAAGAGGGTAAAATAGGGGATGAAAGTTTGTATGAAACCTACCTTTTTAGAGAATTTATTTGTAGGTTTGGCGCGAGCAAGGCCGCGGATTCTGCTAGTTCTATAATAAAAAATCAGACAAGTACGACTATGACTTGCACATCTAGGATGATCTCATGAAACATTATTTTGCTTTGCTTTAACATAAGTACTAATTTGTAAGGTTAAAAGTAGAATAAGATATTTATTTATGTTTTGTTTTAACATACTTTGTTACGTTAAAAGTAGAATAAAATTTACCTATATACGATATTTTTTGTATTGGACCCAAAAATAAGTTTGTATTACATAGTAGTTATTATGTATATGAAAAAAGTTTATTTGGGACGGAATGCGTAAAACGGAAAATATATGTAGATACCATAATATCAGAACTTATTTAAAATAATTTTCGTTGAAATTATTTGCAAGATTTACTTTCTTATTTTTTTCAGATTCACAGAGACAAAATGTTTATTTATTTACGATCATTTAACAGAATAAACTTTAAAAGATCATAATATAAACATTAATTTAAGATACACATAAATATAAATAAATAAATCACGTATGAAAGATAGACAGAAAATCAAAATTACTTATATTTTAGACAGTTTCTATTTTGACAGGCACTAATTTAAAAAATCTCTTAAGCAAATATAATTAACGATTAAACGAACTAACTTCAAGTGACGTTCTATCATAATTATACGAAGGCTTCCCCTAAAGAGATGTTAATACTTGTAGTATCACGAACCGTGTAGCCATTCATACACTATAGTGGAGAAATACATTTTTTAAATAATAAAAATATTAATAATATTTATTTTTATGGTATATATATTTTTATGTTAATATTTATTTTTATGCCAAGAAATTTTTATGTTTTTTTATCTTCCTTCCAAAGTAATTCGCGATCGTGGTGATTCCGATTTCTTTTTTTTTTATGCTATTCAGTGACAAACGAGCAGACAGACCTGATCGAAAGCGGTTCCTGTCGCCCATAACAACTACGATTCATGCACTTAGGTTTTATGTCACAAAAATGCAGAACCGCAGGTGCGTTATCACTGTGAGGACTAAGGTGATATACCTTTTACCTGTAATTGCGCTGGCTACCTTATCCTTCAAACCGGAACACAACAATGTAATCATTGTTGCTTGGCGGGAGAAATAGATAAGGGGTGGTACCCATCCATTCGGACTCCTCAGGATTGACAGAGTCCTACCTAAATTTTTTTTTTATACCACGTCGGTGGCAATCAGGCATGCGGCCCGCCTGATGGTAAGCGGTTACCGCAGCCTATGGACGCCTGCAACACCTGGGGCATCACATGCGCGTTGCCGACCCTTTAAAAACCTATTTACTCCCCTTTTGAAGGACCCCATACTGTAGCCCTCTGGGAAAACCTCGGCAGGGAGTTCATTCCACAGCGAGTTGGTCCGTGGGAGAAAGTTCCTCTGAAACCGAACTGTACGGGACCATTTGGGCTGCAATATGTGAGCATGAACTCGCTGTCGATGGCGAGCGGTGCGGTGATAGAAAGAGGCCGTGGGCATCATTTCGAACAATTCTTCGGAACACAACCTATTGTACAAACGATAGAGCACACATAGAGACGCAAAATCTCTTCTTAGACTTAGGGGCTCTATATCGCTACATTTTTTAGATTAATTGTTTTTTTTTGTAATTAGTTTTAAAGTTCTCCATAAGTACTTAATTTTAAACTTATTACTTTATATAAACTTTATAACTGATTTAAGATTTAGAATAAGGCAATTTTCGCCATTCGGCTTAGGTATTATAAATACTCGAAAAATTTGCTATTACGTGATGACTACTCGGATAATGACACTTCATTAAGAGGCCTATCACAAAATATACTGCGTTCTATGGCATTGAGTTTGAGCGGCCGACGCATCAATGTTTCTAGCATTTTTTGCAGTTGTAATTACTTCTATGTAAAGTTTTTATAATAAATTATTTAAAAAAAAATATGTAATTACGTTTCTTTTAAACTGACGTATATTCTGGTATACATTTTACTTAATAATATTAATATTGTAAGGATATATTTACAGCTAATTCTGAACGTTTTTAATAGTTTTTAAGATTTTGAAAAGGATTTTTTTTTGTAGAAATCCAATTCATATTTCTAAATTTTGAGGCCGCTATAAACTAAATCACTATATAAGAGATATTATTATATATTTCAATACATGAGCTTGAAAAAGTGCCGTCGTGCATCTTATTACAAACTTGCTTCTGAATTTTGGCTTTCTTTCAATTAATAATGAAAATTTGCGAAAAGCGAGGCCGCTATGAACTACATTAATAACTATTCTCCACCATATAATAAGTCAAAATTGTCGAAGAGTATTATCAGTCATAATATAATAGGCCTTAATGACAATTTGAAAATCATAAAAGAAGAAGTAAAATTCGGTTTTACAGCTAGAAGAACAAGAAAATATTTTATCATTTTTTTTATCCATGACAGAATTACATTTTTATTAGGCACCATCTATCATAAAACAAGGAAAACAAATAATATCCTCCTAACCGATTCCAGCCACGGCTGCCAATTTCATTGAGACTAGCCAACTGCGCAGGAGATACTATAGTGCACAAGTGTACGCGCAAACACAAGTGTACGCTCTAATCCTGTCACTCTCATACTACGGTGGGACGACTATTCGAC